ATGTCTGTTAGCTCTCTCTCTGTTTGTTAGATGCTAGGCTGGATTGGAAGTGTCTGTGAGCTATTGTCAGTTTTGCAACTGCTAGCAAACTTGGTGTACTGAACTGATTATATGATACTGGACTATGTTATTTGGATTATCCCTTAACTGAAAGACATTGATGACTGACTGTCATCCGTGTATGACTTGGACTGTTTGATGGACTCTGATTACCTCTATTTCCACGAAAGTAAAAGCCTATTTAAACTGCAGTGTCTCTGTATGCTGGTTTGTGTGATCTCCAATACAACCCTCACAATGCTTCTCTGAACGCACTTGCTCTCCCAGCGGGGAGCTTGCCTAACATAATCAAATCACCAACTCTTCTACACCAGGATATAACTTCTCACTAAATCTACCTGACCCACAGTTGCGTAAGATAGAATCAATTTTCAGTTCAGGAAAGCTGAAATGGCTTTTACTCTTAAGACACTTTGTAATATAATTGTTTACCTAAATTTGGCAGGTAAATATGTGCAGATAATCCGAGATAACACCATTTCTTTTTCCAAATTGTAAAATAGTACAGGATCTAATATTTGTTGGAATATATGTTCCTAAAAACTGAGCTGTGTCTTTTATATTGTTCTTACACTTTTCCGGAGTTCTGTTAGTGAAGAAACTTGAGACAAGATGCTTATTACCTACGTATTTTTAATTTTATGGTTCTTGTCCACACTGATTTCCACTGATGTAGTGTCAACCACTGAATGCAAAGATCTTTTTCATAAAATTGCAGTATGTGTCTTTTCTGCATTTTGTTTAACTTTTGTTTGGCTGAAACCTTTTTTCTTTTTTCTTTCTTTTATATAATTCACTTCTATTCTCATCCAAATTAACTTGTGCAAGTGAGCTTATCTTCATCACATCATATTTGGTATCTGAAGCATGCTTAAAATTCTGACCAAAGTGACACACATGACTATATTTGCATGACACATTATACACAGACTAATGTGTAGCATGAAGCCAATCTAGTGATATCAGAACAATTGGATTCATTTAATAAACTGTATTTAAGTTAATCATGGTAAATATGCTGTTGCACAACACTTACACTGTATAGTCACATCCATAAGAAACTATAGTCCCAGCCATAACAAACCATGATAACATAAAAGTGACACATCTGATTATATCATTACAGAGTATAGATGTTGCAATTACACATTTGCATGATGACATCCAATGCAAAAATAACCATCATGATGTAAGGGTCATCACTTGTCCCTTTTCCCCATATCATAGATGCCCATGCAGTATACAATAACTGAAATAAATAGCATTTTGACTCTTTTTTCCTTTACTCTTATTTTTTTTGTAGACAAATAAATGAAACATATTGCTGGTTGATGCAACAGAATGTAGGCCAGACAAATGGGATGTTGTTCTGCTCTTTTTCAGTACATGTAATAAAAACACACTGTTCTTTTAACGTCTCTCTTAGTCAACCCTTTGCTGTTTAATGTTCTATTGCATTTCTATCGCACAGTTTTCAGACTGTGCTTCCAGGAGAGCCATTGTGCTTTGGCCAGCAGCATTTTGCTAAGATGAACTGTAGGAAAAGGCCAGTATAAATAATAGCCTGTCCGCTCTTTTGGGAAAGTCTAGCTGTCAATTCTCAGAACAGTAGTCATGCTCCAACTTGCAGAGAAGAGTGGAGGATCACTCAGGAAGATTTAGCAATGTCCTTGCCACATTATGACTTTAGTTCTTACATATACTTTGACTGAAAATTGGCAGAAAGCTAATCTACTCCATCCATCATAGCCTTTTTCGCCTCCTTGCTCCAAGGCTTTTGATCCCATGCATTTTTCTCTATTTTTGTACAGCAGCTGTGGTTCCAGCATACTTTCTACTTGTTCCTAGCTGCAGAATGTAGTGTTGCTTGTCACTGTCACTGGAAATGAAGTGTGGGCAGTAAGGACTTTGTTACTAGTGCAAGTATTAGATAGTTAGATGTATTTCTTCCTGCCTAAAGCAGCAGTCCTAAGCCTTTTAGGCTTTGTGGACCAGCGGTGGAAGCGGCAGGGGGAAAGGGGATAGTTTTGCCTGTGCACACACTACATGTGCAAATGCAGCTTCACATGTTCCCCACCACTTGGGTTTCCAACAAGCTGCAGTTCAGTATTTGATCATGGACTGGGGATGGGGGTGGGGGGTTGGGGACCCCTGACCTAAAGGATACATCTTCTAAGAGATCCATAAGCAGGACTAATATATTTGAATGGTACCTAGGTGGCGCAAACACTTAAGAGATTTATATTTCTTTGCTGCTATCTAGTGATCATTCACCTTTTTGAAGGTCAGATATGACAATTCCATACTTGGATATTATTTTTTTTGACATCTTATATTTGTGAATTAAATCCTTACATTTAAAAAAAAATAACTTTAAAACACAGTAATGAATATATTGAATTGGCAAATACGCAGTTTGAATTGTTATATAAAAGCGTGACCCGACAAAAGCGCGCCAACAAAAGCGCGCCGACAAAACCACATCGCTAAAACCGCAACGTCATCAGCATGTCGACAACAGCACGTCGACAGAAGGGCGATTTACAACAGCGCGTCGACAGAAGGGCGATTTAAGTTAAGGTAAGGGTTAGGTTTAAGGTTAGGTTTAGGGTTAGGTTTAGGGTTGGGGTTAGGGTTAGTGTTCCGTTTAGGGTTAGCGTTAGGGTTAGGTTTAGGTTTACAGTGCCTTTCTGTCGGTGCGCTGTTGTCGGCGTGATTCAGCGCTTATTCGTCGGCGCGGTTCAGAACTTGCGGTTTAGTCGGGCATGCTTTTGTCGGTCGCCCTTTTATCGGTGAACCATATAAAAGAATACATGAAAAAAGAATGTACCGTAATACCACAGCTTTGTTTTCTATAGGTGAGTCCTGGAACACTTTCCAGGATCTTCTGTAACATGCAGAAAAGCTGGATTTTGTTATATAAGGTCTTAAGAATCATAAATACGAAAGAATTCTATTGTTGTGAACCATTCCATCTGTTAGTTATAGACTGTCTAACTTTCCATAATAGTTCTAAGAAATACAAACTTCAATACTGTATTGTCGTTTTGTTTCCAACAGATGAATTCAAATAGCCATATTATTTTATGTGGTCAGATCTCCCAATATAACAAGGACATGCAATATCCACCTCCTTTACCTCCAGAGGTAGAAGAAATAAGGAAATCACGGAACATTACTAGGTATTCCTCATTGGCTTCTTCCTCCAAATGAAACACTGAATAAAATCTGCCAAAATATGTGACTGCTTTTTTTTTTAGTTCTAAAAATTGCCTTTTTAGATTGATGAACCAACTATGAAACAAGGTCACTCAAATAATTACTGGAGTTGAACTTGCAGCTTTACAGAAAACTGTCAGCGGATGATCAGTGAAAAAGCTGTTTAATAGAAAAAGAAAATGGGAAGGCTGATTTTCATATATGCCGAGGGAAATTGGAATTGAAACTACAATTAAACAAATAGACAGCTAATATAAAACTTCATCAGTGGATAAATGTGACATGCTTCTAGTAACTCTGAGTCTCTTAAATTGTGCCTTTTAAGTCTGATTGGAGAAAGAGAAACAATTTTGTGCTTAATTTGCACCATTCCAAAGTTTCACGTGTTACCTGAGAAGATGAGGGCATTTAACAGTTATTTGATCAGAAATTTAAAATGATGCAGCAGTATGCTGGTCCACCCTTTCCCAGTCTGATGTTTTTAATATGAATTGTATTAGAATACTCCATTGTTCCCAGGGAGATTAGAACAGGGATTATTCAATTATTCTATTGAATCAGAAAGTTAATTATTCTCTGTTTGGAAATGTGTCTTTTGGAGTAGGCAAAGGATGGGCACTAAATTCATATGGTGTCATCTTTGGAATGGCACAGATTTAAAGGTTCCCAATAGGCTAAAATATAATTTCAGATGAGCCATTTACACTGTTAAAATACTACACCAATTGGATCATTTCCTGACCTTTAAATTATGTTTGCTGAACTGTGTTGCCATTTCTATCTGCTGCAAGTAAGACAGAACATACTGCTTGTTTCCATCCATGACGTATTTGATGACTTTTGTAGTTTCTCTTTCCTGTAATGATTCTTAAAATTGGGAGTTTTTGATCTGCTGAAAAAACTATCCCCCTCGAGTTTATTTTGGACTATATATTATGTATGTAACTGTAAATATTATTTTCTGTAAATGATGGTTACAATTAGATTGGAAATTTAATTATTGCCCTAAATGTTTTCTATGAGAATGGTAGTTGTTCCCCTTTACACATAAAATGGAATCAGAAAGGCATTTCAGAGTGTTTTTAACATTTAATATTTGACTGCTGTGAGATGTCAATTTCATTCTTCACAGAGAAAGATTCCTGGTTTTGAACTACATGGAGAAATATTCAGCTAGTACTCTGCAGCTTTGTCAGTGGATCAAAGAAGGAAAATTGAAGGTAGTATAAAAATCAATAGGCAAATTGTTCAGGGCCGCAAGCAGTCATTTTCTTTCATTGACATTTTCTTTTCTTATTTGTTGTGGTTGCTGAAGCTGAACGAATAACTCATTTCTGTGTAACTACAATGAATAGAGACACTTTTTAGAAATCATCTGATTAGGTGTAAATATCCAAAGAACTGAGATTACAAAAATTTTGTTTTGATAATTTTCAACAGTGTTTAATGAAAGAAAAAAAATACTAGATTGCATCAAAAGGAGAAAAAATAACCTTTAATGCTACTTTTTTTTAAAAAAACAGGTCAAGGAGACAGTCGTGGAAGGCCTAGAAAACATTGGAGGTAAGAGATGGTTTCTTTCTTCTGACTGTATGTCCTTAATTAAAATATATGGATACAGGAAGGTGCCCTGGTTTATTTCTGGTTCAAACAGCAAAATTGTCTGACCCGAATCTGAATGCCATTGCCATTCACAGTTAAGGAATGCTAAATATACTTCTTAATTAATGTGTTTATATTTAAACTGAATGTGTTTAAATGTTAAATCTTGCTGAATCTAAATTCAACAAAACTAATAGTTCTTAAAACTATTGTCTTACTATCTTGGAGCATTTTTGAAAATTTAAAGAAGCAATTGTTGTATGCTTCTTGCATTATGAATTTACAAGTAATTATCTGGCTTAATTTTATTTTTCCACAGCAAATTTAGCCTACCTAGGAATCAATAACCAACTCTTTATCACAGAATTTCTAGGGAGGTTATTATGTTTTATTATATGTCAGTAGTCTGTATATAAATGAACTCGGAAAATTATATCCATAATTTCTGCTACAATCATTTGTTTTGGCATAAATTGTGATGAAAACAGTATTTTAACAGCCATGCTGATTGCAATGCACCAGGTTGGGGAAAGCTGAGCAATCTAATTCTTACAACCCTAGGTAGAATTAAGGATCAAACTAAAAATTAATTAATGTAAGGGATTTCATTTCCTGATTTTATATCAAACATTTGGCTTTCGTTTTGAAAAGAGAAAGGACCAGTATTACAACAATTTGGAATTTAAATTGCATCCTATTAGGATACCCCTTACTAGTTTCCATTATCAACTTCGTTAAAAGACAATTCCCCCTTTCTTAAAAGGATTTTTGTTAGACAGCAGAGAAAGGTTTTTGGTTCTTCCTTTACCAATTTGTGAATTTCTACGATCATTACAGCATCCCTGTGGTCATGTGATCAAATCTGGGTGCTTGGCCACTGGTTCATATTTATGACGGATGCAGTTTCTGGAGTCATGTGATCACCTGTCAGTGGGGAAGCCAGGCTCACTTAACAAACATATTGTTAACTTAACCATTTTAGTGATTCAACTCTGGCAAGAAAAGTCGTAACTTTTGACTTAACCACAGAAATGTTGAGCTCAATTCCAGGATTGCCTGTAATGGTTTAATACATTCTACCAAGTCTGCATCTAAAGACCACATAAAATATATTATTACGGAGTTTCAGAAAGGAGGAAATCTTGGCTTCCATCACTTGAGAGCCTCAGGGCAATTGCAACAGCTACTGGTTTTACCTCATGTCTTGAGATTAAAAACAAGAGTTGGAGCTGATCAGAGGATCTTAAATACCATGAGAGGTCAGAGGTGAGATACAAGAATACTGAATGCAAGGCCACAGCTCTGCAGGCCTTTAAAGATAGAGAGTTATCTTTCATTTGGCCTAAAGGATCGGAGAGAACTGTTGCAGTTATCACAGTTCTGGGGCTATTTGGAAAGCCTGAAAGAAAAGGGGAGAAGAAACTAGAGGAACTATGTAAATGTGAGAGAGAAAACAGGCCAAGAAACTGAGAACATGTATATAAGAAGATACCTCCAAAGAAAAAAGAATGCTAATTGAAGAATGAAAAATTTTATTGGACAAAAAAAAAAAAAGCACATTTGTAGTTCTTCCAAAGGCACAGCCCTACGTGGAGAGGAGGGGATTTAGTCTAAGATTGAGTAATACCTGAGGAATGTCAAGAAGAGGAAAACCAAAAATGTTCATGGAAGGAGGGAGTATAAAGAGTGCTTACAAAAATTTGAGTTACAAATTTTCACCCATACGAACAAAGCTTCTGCAATTCCAATCCAGAAGGTCCAGGAAAGGAGGAGGATGTGGGGAAAGGCTAGTTTACTGCATGCTATGTGTATACTCTTGGCAGCACCGTCACACATTGGGAGGCTAAACTTACCCATTTTGGACCCTGCCCTGCCCTGTCTGTTCATTGATTTCGTGGTTTTAGTTTTCAGTGCTCTTCAATTTATTTAATGGATAAAATAAAAATTCTATATTTTTTATACTTGGGACTTACAAATAGCTTCTTGGAATGCAATATGTTCATAAGTAGAGGACTGCCTGTATTCCAAAATTGAAAATCCACATATTGGCTAGAAGTTACTAAATAATTCTGAGGAATAAAGTGCTTGCATTATTAGGGTATAACCATTGCACAACAGTTGAGAATGCAGAATCAGCTGACACAATTGCTGTTGCTTTGCTTCAGCCTGGATCAGTGGGGATCTGCCTGGGGCTAGCCTTTGAGATTAAATTGCTCATGCAGCCACATGAAAGAAAACACAAAGATTTAAAACTTGTACTGACACCAAATTTTGATGAAAAAGTTTATTTAAAGGTTTATTTCATCATACTGAAGAACTATTAGGTTGCAAAGGAGAGGAATGCCTATTTGTGTGGTCCTACATAGATGGATATTTGGAGATTCAAGCTAACGGTTTAGTTCTGATTATAGCAAATACATGTTAGCTGGACAATATGGAACTTATTTCTCATTGTCTACGTATAGGATGTGTTTAAACCAGGGGTGAAATTTGGGAGGTTCTGGAGAACCGGTAGCAGAAATTTTGAGTAGTTCAGAGAACCGGCAAATGCCATATCTGGTTGGCCCCAGAGTGGGGTGGAAATAGAGATTTTGCAGTATCCTTCTCTTGGAGTGGGATGGGAATGGAGATTTTGTAGTATCCTTCCTTTGCCACGCCCACCAAGCCACAGAACCAGTAGTAAAAAAAATTGAATTTCACCACTGGTTTAAACTATCCAGTCTAGCCTACACTTTCCAAATAGGTTTCCATCTATTTATTAACCAGATCCAAGTCTCCTCAGTTTGTTCAAGTCCAGTGAAAATAGGCTAGTGCTGCTACTTGTACATTAGTATATTAGAAGTATTGTATATAGAAATGAACTTCTGTGGTATACCATACACTACCTATCTAGCTAAATCAAGTGCTTTGTTGCTTTGAAAACAAATCTATCACCATAAACAAACTTGTCAGCCTGAATACAGATTGCCTGCCTTTATTATTTTTACAACAACTCAAGGTAGTGATATTCCAATAGCCAACTTTTGAGGTGAGTTGGGTTGAGAATGAGCAACTTGTCCAAAGTCATCCAACTGGCTTTCCCGGCTAAGGTAAGAATAGATCTCTGAGTCTCCTGGCATCTAGCCTAAACTCGCTGTCTTCAAAACCATGGGCTGATTATTGAAGGAAGAATAATGTTATTTTGTACATTTAAGTAAATTCAGAAAGTGTTTGTGTTTAAAATTAAAACACCAATGTAAAGTATTTCAGCTTTTGAATCATTTCAATTTTTTCCCCTCTTACAGCTGCTTTCGTGTCTATGATGAGTGGGGGCAACATTGGAAAACAGATAGTGCTCGTTTCCAAATAAAAATCATTTCTGATCTATTTTGTGTCTACTAAAAAAAGAAATATTTGCATAAGCCTGGAATGAACTTATCCTTTATATCTGTATCCCATTTTGGGGATTAGTAAAATCTTTTGAATCTTTAATTTTTTTCTAAGTTTTTTTGGGGGGGGGTTCTTCCATCTCTTTGGGGGGGGGGGGAATTCAGTCAAAATGTGTTTCCTTGCCTTTAGTACCAAATGATAAAATATCATTTCTGTACCACTGCTACAGAAATATAAATTATTATGTGCATATAATATAAAACCAAGATTAGTTTTAGCTGCTTGAACAAATGTTTGCAAGCAAATTATGTCTTATTTGACCTATTTCTAATTTGGTTTTCTTCTGCCTTTATTAATATCTAGAAAATCGAATAACACTATAGTTGTAGTATTTCTCAATTTGAAAATAAATGTAAGCCATAGTTGCAGCAGCTAAGATTTGGTAACCAACTTCAAAACTTTAGTTTAAAAAAATAAACCATGGCTTACTTCCTGGAAGTAAGCAAACCAATTAAAACATATTATATACTGATTGATGTTCTGATACGTATAAACCAGGCTCTAATCACATCTGAAAATGAAACAATAATGAAAATATTTTCTTGTACACAATACGACTATTAAATGTATTGGTTAATATAATTTTCTGGCTTTGTCTCTCTTCTGTGATACGTTATTCTTTCTGATACATTAATAGTGAATAATAGCTTTTAGCTGTTCCTATTACCTCCAACATTTTACTGTTACATAAATTTATTTAAATTAGAATACTAAACAAGACATTTGCTAATTTTACGACTGTCATGGGATTTTTAAAAAAACCTTTCCTTACACTTTATGTCCAAATATTCCAGTTTCCAAACTTGAATGTAGAACAATGACCATGAGAATTATTACAAAGGAAGAAGATGCTTCTCTGAATTCCTTTCTGATAAAGAAAAAATGTGGTAGGAAAGTTTTTAATAATTTGTAAAACAAAAGTTTGCAAAAAAGTCCTGATCCATCCTTTCTGTGAATTCTTCACTGTCAGGTAGACAAGAAAGCAGCAAACAAGGCATCTGCAGAAACAATGCTGTGTCCCTAATACAGATAGTCCTCGACTTATGACCACAATTGAGCCCAACATTTCTGTTGCTGAGCGAGACAGTTGAGTTTTGTCCCATTTTACAACTTTTCTTGTCAAAGTTAACTGACTCAATGCAATTGTTAAGTTAGTAACATGATTGTTAAGTGAATCTGGATTCCCCATTGACTTTTTTGTCAGGTCACAACAGTTGCTTCAAGGTGCTAGTTGTCACCTACAAAGCCCTTCATGGTATTGGATCTGGGTACTTGAGAGACCGCCTGCTGCCAATTACCTCCACTAGACCAATAAGATCATAAGTCACTTTTTTCAGTGCCATTGTAACTTCGAACAATCACTAAATGAAGTGTTGTAACTCAAGGACTATCTGTACTTGTTGGAATTTTGTACCCTGCAATTCTTTCATACTTATCTGAAACAATTCCTAGTGAATTCTGTACAAATTACTTTTTAAGTAGACATGAGAATGGTTATATGTGTCAGTCAACACGTTAACATTTTCGGATAAGATGGAAAAAGGTTAGCAAATACATGATTGGAATAAATACTACACAAAAACATTTTATTACAACAGACAAATTATGGAATTTGAAAAAATATTGAAAAAAAGGAATAAAAGTGCAATGTATATGCAGTCTCAGCATGTACATGTTATTAAATTAACAATTGGGCACAAATCAGAGGCAGCATTTGTATATTTATTGTACGTGCATTAGAAGAAAAAAATGGCTGAGGCACACTCCTTTACAATACACATACATAGTCCCAGCCATTCATGTGCAAGAGTATATGGAGTCTTATAACTACATCTCTTGGATTATTTTCAGTAAACATATAAACATGCTGTGATTTGACCCATCAGCCATACCCATCCTAATCAAAAGCTGTGATTCCTGGAAGCTGAAAAACATCAGGTCAGTTATTGATTATGGCATAAGATAAATTGTATTGGACATTTAGAGACAGACTTCTACAAGGTTTAGCCATTGTCAGTAGGTGCTCATTTCACATGTATAGTTTTATAATTGACTCATTTTCATATAAGTACAGCATACACTTAACTGTATTTTTCACATTCATTTTTTTTAACACGATGCAACAAATTCTATTTTTTTACTGATTATCTCAGTTCCTGCATGACAAAAGTGAAGAATACTGTTTATTTCAATTTCACTGTGATCTCATTCAGCAGAATAGTCATGAACCAAGAAAATCAGCAATATTCCACAGCAACCAATTGCTAATAGGCTACATTGATCTGTTAAGTACTAAATCTGTTAAGTACAGTGGGACAAAAAAGTATTTGTCAGCTACCAATTGTGCAAGTTCTCCCACTTAAAAAGATGAGAGAGGCCTGTAATTGACATCATAGGTAGACCTCAACTATGAGAGACAAAATGAGAAAACAAATCCAGACAATCACATTGTCTGATTTGGAAAGAATTTTTTTTACAAATTATGGTGGAAAATAAGTATTTGGCCACCTACAAACAAGCAAGTTTTCTGGCTCTCACAGGTAATAGCAATAGCAATAGACTTATATACCGCTTCATAGGCCTTTCAGGCCTCTCTAAGCGGTTTACAGAGAGTCAGCATATTGCCCCCAACAATCTGGGTCCTCATTTTACCCACCTCGGAAGGATGGAAGGCTGAGTCAACCCTGAGCCGGTGAGATTTGAACCGCTGACCTGCTAATCTAGCAGTAGCCTGCAGTGCTGCATTTAACCACTGCGCCACCTTGGCTCTTGGCTGACTAAATACTTTTTTGCCCCACTGTACATATGCAACATTAATATTGGCAATAATCCAGAAAGCTTTGAAAGAAATTGTGTGCATTTCAGTGGATCCTACCTACCTGAAATTACTAGAGGAAACCACGCTATCGTCCATATGCAAGCATGCAGAAGGCATAAACATTTTCATCTGAATTCATATATTAAACCATGGCCTTTACATGTATCGTTTGCTTAAACATTAATTATTTGAAAAACAAAACACTATTTATTAAGGTTCACACAATAGGCTAAATCAAAATAAAAGTTTGATTTTAATTCAGTTTATAAGCCACATGGCCAGGTTTGCACAGCATACTCTGACTCTGAAGAGAGATAGGAAGTAGTGAGGTACTTCCTGAAGCAAAGGCAATGCCTTTCATTAACTCTGATTATGAGTCTATTGCAATCATTTGGGCATCATATTAACAATTCAGAAATTGTTATAAATAATATCCAAAGAAATTATATCATTTTTTCTTCTCATGAAATCTGTTACAGTACAATATACATAAAGACTATAGAACTTTTGTTAAAACCCAGGATAGTTTGAAAAACATTTTTGAAAAATGGAGGCTGGAGTTGGGGAAAGGACTGGGTTTGAAAAGGAAAGTGGGCAAAGGTGATTGACATGACTTAACAGGCTTTTAATTAGGGCTGAGTCAATTACTATTCAGCAAAGGGCAAATATCCCATTTTTAGGTAAATCATCTGATAAAGAAACACACAAAAGTAGAAACAATTAACAAAACATTACAATAGTCCATATATTTTGTCTAGCATTAAAACAGTATGTCAAAAACAGTATTAATATAAATATAATAAAGCATTTCCTGAGGCAAATAGTGTCACTTTTTTCTAAAAGTTTTATTACAGAGCAGCACAGAAGGGGTTTCATGGTAATCCTGACCTTCATAATCAATTGCCTATGCAATCAGAACATAAGACATACAAACTAGAAGTAGTTCACAGATTTATCACTTAACAGTTTAAGTGAATGTATACTTCAGGCTCCTGAAAAAAGGAAGCATCAGGAAGTTTGGTAGTTCTTCATATTTACAGTAAAGGTTCTCAGCAAAATAGATTCCATTGCCCAAATTCTGTAGACCAGGAAGAGGGTTAGTGCAGCAACCCAAGTTCTCATTGGAGAGAGAAAAAAAGAAAGAATTCCATATGTCTTCAGTAAGAAGTAACAGGAAAAGACTTGCCAGAAAAATAGAAGTAACATGATTAAATGGATGGGCACAGTCCAATATGGTTTGATAAGATACAGATGAGAACGAAAACACTGGCCTTGGCAACGCAGCAACAGGCACCAACATGTGTACGCCATCAGTGGTAGGTTGAAAAATAACACCTATCAAACAAAAACATCCTTTGAGCACATGCAGGAATATGAATACATAGAATTACTCTGAACACTAAGCACATGAAGCCATAAATAAAATGCACATATAGTAGATCTATAATGGTATAAGAATGACAAGCTGTAACTTTACAATAAAGTAGTATTAGGTCATCTGGCCATGTTCCCTGTCTGGTCTTCCTTGCATGATGATAAGATCTCAGCGTCTTATAGCAAGGTTTCATCTAGCTATACTAACTAAGCTGTAACTAAGCTGGTGACTAAGAAAATTAGCAAACGTGACAACAAATAGCCACTTTCTTCCTGGAACACTTTTAAAACATTGCTCTACTTAAACTTTATCTTTCAGGTTTGTACACTTCAGAATCTTACAATAAGCTGAAAAGCATCCATTTTTTAAAAATTATACCTTCACATATTTAGAAACAATATATGTTACACATTTCAGTGGGAGAACACTTGTGGATTTAGCCCACTCTGAAAACCATTGATTACATATTAAAAAAAGAATTGATGAATTTATGGTCAAATAGTGGGGAATTAAACATACTTGTGAAAGAGAAGCTCATTCATATTTCTCAGCAGGAATTTCTGTTGATCACTACAAACATGTAGAGGGTACTGTGGGTCCATGGCAGGAAACTAGCCTACATCAGTTTTTTTCAAATTTGACTAATTTAAGATATGTGGCTGTGGACTTCAATTCTGGGAGTTGAAGTCCTCAATATCTTAAAGTTGCTGAGTTTGGCTGGCGGGGTGGAGATGACATAAACCAATAAAGGAGAATATTTGTAACTCAGAATTGAAATGAGGGGTCCTTGGTGCTTTCTGAGCTTGGTTGTTTTCTTGCAGACGTTTCATTATCTAAACTAGATAGCATCTTCTTATGATGTTTCCTTGTTTGGGTAATGAAACATCTGCAAGAAAACAACCAAGCTCAGTACCAAGGATCCATCAAAATGACCTACAATTAACTTTTAACAAAAGCAATGAGGTTATGGCTGTCCCCAAGTTAAATAAAAACTGCAATTACAAAAGGTTTCTCCATTGGGAAAATACAGAAAGTTGGCTTAATATACGCTATATTGCCAAAAGTATTCGCTCACCTGCCTTTACTCGCATATGAACTTACTGTAAGTGACATCCCATTCCTAATCCATAGGGTTCAATATGACATAGGTCCACCCTTTGCAGCTATAACAGCTTCAACTCTTCTGGGAAGGCTGTCCACAAAGTTCAGGAGTGTGTTGATGGGGATTTTTGACCATTCTTCCAGAAGCGCATTTGTGAGGTCACACACTGATGTTGGACGAGTTTACATGACCTACTACTTCATGGCTGAGTTGCTGTTGTTCCCAAATACTTCCATGTTCTTATAATACAGCTAACAGTTGACTGTGGAATATTTAGGAGTGAGGAAATTTCAAGACTGGATTTGTTGCACAGGTTGCATCCTATCACAGTTCCACTATCACAGTTCCATTAGCATGCCTAGGTACTTGATTTTATACACCTGTGGCCATGGAAGTGATCGGAATACTTGATTCTGATTATTTGGATGGGTGAGCAAATACTTTTGGCAATATAGTGTACATAAATACAATTTCAAAATAGAACTTTAGCAGTATCAACAGATCTTCATGAGATAAAATGGAAAAAGCAGATCAATCCTCAAGCAAATCTATCTATTGAGGTAGATGTCCATAAGATGCTCTCTGTGGAACTGCTCTGACAAATGTTCAAAATATCATCTTGTGTAAAGCTGCAACAATCAGGCCCGTTGCGTTTCACATTTATTTATTGCCTTACCTGAACTTCAGTACGGATCTGTGGATAGGTCTTGAAGTGCAGGAGATTATAAAATCCTATAAGGACTGGGGCCCAATTATTTGAAAGTGTGTCTCCTTTCAAGAAGCACAGTCTGGAGGTTTGGGGCCCTAAATGGTTGCCATTTCTCCTGCCCCCTTGACAAAGTTTTCTTCCCCTTCCTTTGTAGTATGCTTGGCCATTTACACTTGCCCTGCCTTTTACTAAAATGGGACTATCATTTGCATCCACAAGTGGGTTAGCAGGAACACAGGAAAGAATATTTCGATAGAACTAGCAAGACTTACTACAGTGGCCTTCCTTAGTAGGCTTATTGGCTCCTTCTTTTAGCTATTGGTGAATTGTCAAAATGTTATTTTGCCTAATACTTGGCTTTCCTGCTACAAATATTTATAATATAGGTCTTAGTTCTTGTGTTTGTCATTACGGTTTTTGTGTGATTTTTTTTTGTAAATAAATAAAATGTTATAATAAATAAGCGCCATGGAAGTCTTACTGTCAAAAGGCAGAAAAGGGAGGGAGACATAAGCTCTAAACAAATACATACCTACTCCAACATTATGCTATGGAATTAACAATTCCATGGAAAGTTAAATTTGTTCTGAAGAAATTGTATACATCTAAATAGTCCACTAAATGTACTAGTGAAGCTTGTTATAGTCATATTAACAAACAATGCTGCCTCTTAAGTTTTTTTTTTTAAAAATGTTGTAACATATTTAACTATTGGGGGGGGGGGGAGATCAGAAGATTGTTATCAAAAACTATGCTGAGAGTCCTACCTGTAAAATTCCAACAAGGAAGGTTGAGCTGCCTTCAAAGAACTGGCCATTAACAATTAACCCAAAAGAAAAGCAGATGCCCACATGACCTTCTATAAGCTCACCAATGAACCAGGGTCCTGATAGGGAAAAAATGGTATTATATTAAGGATATCCACAGTGTTAAACAAGTATTTTTCCAGTTTGAAATCCTTGCTAATAATCACTAGGACAAAAAGATCCATGTAGGTAACAAACTCTTGTAAATAATGCCATTTGATCAGTATAATCTATTCAGTTAATTAATTCACACATCAAACTATGCCTTGGTCACTATACACTATGGTTTTAAAACCCCAATGGGAATGGTTTGTTCAACAAATTAAATCAGAACCAAACCAACCACATTATTGTGATTATTGTGATGTGTGAATTTAGTGAGTAAGATTTTTAAAATTAGACATAAAGGATTTGAAAAAATTTTTATATGTTATTATTTCTTTACATTTCGTAAGCAAAATCACAAACTTTACAATATACAAGTACAAATACTTTAAAATATAACTTTTACTCTCATAATACACATTTTTAAAGAGATGCTGTGTTTCAATAAGTAGATATGATTAAGAAATGTGGATTTGGCCATTACTTCTGTCATGGACTCAGTGGCCAAATCCATAAAAAAACAGAGATGCAGTACATTAAAAGCTGCATCGTAAGCAGCAAACAGTAATATTGGAAAATATAAACAGTGAAGAGTTGAGCAAAATTATTAGAAACATCTTAGTTTTGAGCAAGAATGCTGCCTTTTTATCAATGCAAAGAGAGACAGTCCTCAATTTATGATCACAATTGGGACCAAAGTTAAGCAATATGATTGTTGAGTGAGTTGTATGCAATTTTATGAATTTGTTGTCATGGTTATTAAGCAGATCACTGTGGTCATTAAGCAAATCAAGTGACTGCAGAGAAGCTGCAATGGTTGTAAGTGTGAGGAGTAGTCATCAGTCACTTTTTAGCATTGTCATGTCTTCAAATGGTCATTAAATTAATAGTCATAAGTACAGGACTATCTGTGTATGCTTCTCAATAATCCTATACACAGGAATCCTTGGCAGCTACTGCATACAAAGCTCACCATTTCGTCTTCTTGGTATGTACTGCCTAATAAATCATCTCATACGTATCAATTACGCATAAGAACAAGTCTAGTTAGATCTTGAATAGAGGACTTTCAGAAAATTACAGGACTATAAGCTAGACTGAGAAGCTGAAAAACTATCCTGGAAAAGGGCAAGAGTGAACTGTTCTTATACTGCAATCAAGAAAACCATCTATTATCCATACTCTACAGCTAGTCCTCGACTTACAACAGTTCATTTTGTGATAGTTCAAAGTTGCAACAGTGCTGGGAAAAGTGATGTATAACCACTTTTCCCACTTACGACCATTGCAGCATTCTAATAGTCACGTGATCAAAATCCAGACCCTTGGCAACTGACTCATATTTATGACTGTTGCAGCGTCCCAGAGTGATCAACTTTTGCGACCTTCTGACACGCAATGTCAATAGGGAAGCCAGATTCACTTCACAACAGTGTCACTAACTTAACAGCTGCAGTGATTCACTTAAGAACAGTGGCAAAAAAGTTGTAAAATAGGGCAAAACTCTGAACAACTGCCTCGTTTAGCAACAGAAATTTTGGGCTCAATTCTGGTCGTAAGTCAAGGACTACTGTACGTTATGTGTCCATGAAATTATCAGAAGCTGAGCTCTACTAGAAGATTTTCCTGTTTTTAAAAAAACTATGAAGTGTTTGGGTTTTTAAAAATCTAAATTATGCCAATACATGGTTCAAATGGTTACATTTGTAAGAATTCATTATTTTTTCATTTAGAACCCTATTAAAATGTTTTGCAATAAAGTCTTTAGAAATTAATAAACTGCTTTTCACATTCTTTGCACTTACCTAGAACAGTATATAAATTCAGCACCAGAAACGAGTAGAAGAATAAATCTATTTTGCTCAGGACATGAAGAGAAAAAGAGGTTCGTACTGCCACACCCGGAGGTTCTGAAACAGTAACATAATCTCAGTTCTAAATTATTGCTTGCTACTGCTGAAAACATACCAGGCCACAATTTTAGAAAGTGACATATCAACAACAGCTAGTGAAAAGTTGGATTAGAACCAGTGTTCCACTTGTTCTAGAAAGTACAGTATTGGACTAGAATTAGAGACAATCTGGTTTATGTCTATTCTTAGCCACAAAAGTTATTCAAGTGATTTTGGAGCAATCACTCTCAATTCAGTTAACCTTACAGATTGTGAGGAAAAATTAGAGCAGTGCAACATACATTGCTTTGAATTCCTAAAGGAAAAGTATATAGAAATGTGACAAATTGTAAGAATAAAATATGTCCTAAATGTATTTGTCCAAATAATTCAAGATGTACAATACAACTGCCCCACCCCCCTTAGGTTTTTAAATATTTAGATGTGAATACCACAAACATGTCACAAATAAAAATAAGAGAAATCCTAATATTTATCCGAATATTTTAAAATGAACTATTCTGATATTAGAATTGTGTGATTAAAAATTAGCCCAATTCAAATGGTGTCATCAGTTTTCTAATAATATTCTTATTAGAAAACATCAGCCTGTGTGACAGAATCTTGTAGCTATGAAAGAGTCACAAATGACCTGCTGATGTTTTTCCCATCATCATGTTGTCCAAATTTTGCAGGAGCAAAATTCTGGAAGTACAAAGGAGGCTAGCTGAGTACAGCTTATAATCAATATCTATCTTCTGTATTTGGGACAATGTAGGGACTGACATAGGCATGGGACAATTTAAAAAAAATAGTTTCATTTAAACCGTGTACACCAATGTTACTGCCATCATTACTGATATTATAATCAGCTCTAGGCAAATTAAAAGATCCTCAATGACAACTAAGAGAAGTGAGAGTTCCAAATAGAAGTTCATTTGGAAAGTTGTTTAAAGCATTTCATTCATGTATAAAAAACACAGTATGACAAGTATGTTGAGCATGGCTTCTGGAATTCTTTATCAGCAGTGGCCAAATACAGAAGGGACTATGTTTTCTTCTATGTAACAAAATAACATGTTGTGTCTCTTTGTGTTTCTGCTCTCTTGCCAGGACTGCTTGACTGTGTTTGTGTGCATGTTTCCCTGTGAAACATAGGGCAGACTGCATACTCTCCACTCTGGGACTAATGACCAGGGGAGCAGGTCAACTATCTCTCTGAGTAGGAGTGTGAATTTTTCTTTGTAATATTTTTCTCTGCAGCCTCCAGTTGAAACTGGCCTGTTACTAAGCTATATCTTTCTTTTGCTGGGGTTTTCCATGATGGTTAACATTAGGTTCATTCTGTTCAGTCTTCAGAGACTTAATCTGGATAATTACTGAGAGAACTGAGATCCTCTTCCATAATTTATTTTCAACATGTCATTAGGCTTGAAAGAAGAAAAATGAAATGGAGAGGGGACGAAAGGAAAAAAGATCAGCAAAATTGCTCTTACTTTTAAATTTAGGTTTTGCTCGAAACCGGAAAAAAATCAGCAAAGCAACTTGAAATATAATTGTCAATACAAAGAGTGTTCGTACCTGGAAAAAAAAGTCAAAAGCAGTATGATATATTTTGAAAATGAAAAAAGAAAAAGGTCAGCTACAGTACTATTAACTAACTTTTTCTATTAATAATAAATATATGAACGGAAGCTACTTCTCTCCTGTACAACAAAGAATTTCCTAGAGACAATAAAAAGGTTAGGAAGGAAACAAAAAGACCAGAAGGCAACCTGCTGTCAAAACCCGATATACTGTAAGCAGGAACTGCCACCAGACAATCAAACAGGAAACAATACGCTAATCAAGAAACTTCCAAGAAAACCACCACCAAAAATGGCAGGGCAGACCACTGTATCTAAACCAAGAGCAAACCCCACACTCACTTGCACTGATGAAGTTACCTAGTTGGGTAATGTAAACTCTGCAAGGAAACAACCAAACTCAGAGACCACCGATGATCTCATAGAGGGCAGGCTTTCTGATAATCTGTTCCAGAGCAACGTAGGGCCTCACAGGCACAACCAACACCTTGGGTTGCATACAAAAGCCAATCAGCAGCCAGTGCAGCTCCAAAAGTAACAGGATCATCCAAGTATACAGAGATACAACCATCACAGCACAGTCCACCACATTTTCTACTAACCGTTGCAGCCAAAAGATAATAATGTTTATCTACCAGATCTATCCATCCATCCATCCATTATTTATCAATGTATAGATTTATATGGCTGCCCATCTTAAACAAGGTAACTTTGGATGGTGTACAATAAGTAAATTTTTATACAATAAGTAATAAACAAGGATTTCCATGAATGCCAGTCTGGTACCGGATGTAATTGAAGGTACTGGTGGTCACCACTGGGATCCCCCCCCCCAACCTGTGTCGGCAGAGAAGGCATGCTGCCGTCTCCATTGGCCTAAGTATTCTAGCTGGTGGTGACCAGGAAAAGGGCTTTCTCTGTTGTTGCATCTGCCCTCTGGAACATCTTGCCTCCCAGAGAGAGGTCAGCCCCAACCCCTCTTACTTTTCGTACAAGACTAAGCTCTGCCAATTAGTTTGGGGCCCCAATGGGGAAACAGCACAGTGCAGGTAGTTGCTCTATTAACAACACATCCTATCTCCTCCCCCATACTACACCTACCCTCATCTTTTAATTGCACTGTAGTAGTTGACTTTTATTTATGTTTTTAATTTATGTACTTTTTATCTTTTATGGTTGTAAGCCTTCCACAGTTACCTTGAAGTAAGAAGGGAAGCCAATAACTTTTACAAATAAATAAATAAATTCTATTACACCTGCCTTCTCCCAACTTCCTTTCACACTTTTTCCCATTGCCGCTCAGACTTCACTGGACCCATCAGTTTTTGCTGCAACGCTGCTACTTATGTGGGGTGAGATCTGCGCTGTGCCTGTTCACAACTCCACCCTAGAGGGTCCCAGGAGTAGGAGAAGGTGAGAGGAAGCTTGTTTCAAATGCACCACATATATATTTTGCCAATACAAACAAACCTGCCCATCTTTTCCCGACTTCTGGGTGCAGACAGATCAGTTTGTATTAGCAAGTGTGCAATTCGAAAGTTCATTAATAATGTCTATATAAGGTAGTCCTCAACTTAAGGCCATAATCAGGACTAGAGTTTCTATTGCTAAGCAAGGGGGTTAAGTGAGTTGTGCCCAATTTCATGACCAATTGTTAAGCAAATCACTGTAGTCATTAAGTGAATCATGCAGTCATTAAGCAAATCTGGTTTCCCTCATTGACTTTGCTTGTAGAAAGCAGGATGGGAAGATTGGAAATGGCAATCAGATGACTCCAGAATGCTACAACTGTCATAAGCAGGTTGCCAAGTGTCTAAATTTTGATCATATGACCGTGGGGATGCTGCAACAATTGTAAATGTGAGGATCAGTTGTAAGCAGGGGTGGGTTTCTGCCAGTTCTAACCTCTTCAGTAGAAGAGGTTCTAGAAATCTACCAAACCGATTAGAAGTGGTTCATCACGGAGCGCCTGCCCCGCCCTCTCGCTCACTTCCCCTGCCCGTTCCATTGCCGCTTGCAGGCAATAGCACTCCCACTCGGTCACATGGCCGGCAAGCCACTCCCACCCAGTCACATGGCCGGCAAGCCACTCCCATAAAGCAGCCCACACCTACAGAAGAGGTTCTAAAAAAGTTTAAAACCCAGCACTGGTTGTAAGTCATTTTTATCAATGCTGTTGTAACTTTCAATGGTCACTAAACAATTGGTTGTAAATCAAGGACAACCTTTATATCCATCCATCCATTGTTCCCTCCTATCTGAAAGAATACTCACCCATATATAGTGGTCAGTAAGAAGCAGCCAAGATGCCAAAAGACCAAATTTAAGAGAAAGGTTTTCCTCCATAGCAAATGTATGAAACTGAGTGGCACTTCTACCACTGATATCCTAAAAACAGGACCAAAACAAGGATTAATAAACTTTTCAGGACTATGCTCCATTTTTTAGCCCCCCTCCCATGTATCCCCACCCAAAGCAGAGATTTCTATTAAATCAGTCTGCCATTTTGTACAAATCAGGTTTCCAGTCCTCATCTTCCCATAGATCTGCTATTAATTAGCCCACCAACCCGCTATTCTAGCAGTGCCTTCTCTTATTCCCATAAACTCATACAGTCTTTGATGGTCCTGTGTCCTATGACATACCTGCCAATCTTCTCAGCACCTCCCTCTCTTCCAATAATCAGCCTACCTTACTTCTTTTGAAAACAATTGGATTTTCTACACTACATTTTTTCTAAAATTCCTTATCTTAGTAACACCCCGTCCTCCAAATTTCTACATGCCTCCATTCAATTCTTGCACTTCTGTTCTCTGACACAATATGGCATTATAGGAAAGCAACTAATAACTATTAATAAAGTATCCAGTTTACTAGGTAAAGATAAAAGTTCCCACACACATGCGTGCTAGTTGTTTCCGGCTCTAGGGGCAGTGCCCATCTCCGTTTCTAAGCCAAAGAGACAGTGCTATCCAAAGACATCTCCATGGTCATGTGGCCGGAATGACTAAACACCAAAGGTGCATGGAGGGCTGTTACCTTCCCACCAAAGTGGTCCCTATTTTTCTACTTGCATTTTTTATGTCCTTTCAAACTGCTAGGTTGGCAGAAGCTGGGACAAATAACAGGAGCTCACTCTGTTACGTGGAGCTAGGAATTTGAACCGTTGAACTGCCAACCTTCTGATCGACAAGCTCAGCATCTTAGCCACTGAGCCACTGTGTCCCTGGTGACAACTAAGGTATATTGTAATGGCAGACTTGTATACTTAAGGTTCTTGTTATTCGTTGTTTAAATATTCTCTTAGTCCTTACTGTAGCATTTAATTTTGGTCATATCATTGAATGGTTGCTCCATTCTATGTTTCACTGTTTAACTGTGCTGCCAGTAATTAGAATAGAATAGAATAACAGAGTTGGAAGAGACCTTGGAGGTCTTCTAATCCAACCCCCTGCTTAGGCATGATACCCTACACTACTTCAGACAAATGATTATCCAACATCTTCTTTAAAATATCCAGTGTTGCAGCATTTACAACTTCTGGAGGCAAGTTTTTCCACTGATTAATTGTTCTAAGTGTCAGGAAAGTTTGAGACAATGCCAGTCATTGTTTACATTTTCTTTCTCATTCTTTTGCAGAATGGCAGGTTCCCCAATTGTTTGGGGTAGTAGAATCATTTGAAAGGACATTGAAGGTATTAACATAAAATGCCTACTAAGGTGGCTTGCCCAGTCAGAAAATATCCATTTACCAGAAGGAGCCATGGTGGCACCGCGATTAGAATGCAGCCATTGCAGGTTAATTCTGCCCACTTCCTGGAGTTTGATCCTGACCAGCTGAAGGTTGACTCAGCCCTTCATCCTTCTGTTGTCGGTAAAATAAGGACCCAGATTGTTGGGGGCAATATACTGACATTTATAAACTGCTTAGGGTGTGTTGAAAAGCCCTATGAAGTGGTTTGTAAGTTTAAGGACTACTGCTAGTGAGAGGCTGCTATCATCTTCCTACATGAATCTCCTCCTCCTCTCCCTTCCTTCTCCTTTTTTGCAATACCCAGTTCTGAGAAAGCTCTGCAATATACTGATGATATTTATATTTTGGAAACAAAGTATTCTGTTTGAGGTTTGCTTTGCAGCATGCTAGCTTCCCATTTAATTTTTGATATTACAATATTTTTTTAAATAATGAACTTGGCTATGGACCCTGATGAGTGTTTAGAAACATCCGTGGATATATTGGTGTCTATAAATACCATGCTGTTGAAACATACCTATTCTTTTACTACATCTACTGCTCCTACTTAGAAAGGCTGGAAGACAGCAATATCCCCAAGGTTACCTATTGAATAATCATAGAAAAGAAGAAATTCTGCCAAATGCATTTTTCTGCCAAACATATGATAGAATGACGAATAATAGCAAAAAAACTCACTGCAACAGTTACAGCTATCTGATGAAATCCGTGACTGTACTTTTGGGGGGACCATTTCAGGACATAGAGTGGTCCAGACACCTGAATAGCATCTCCAAGATAAATGTCATCAATCATGATCTTGACAAATTTGATAGGAGAAGGAGAGAAGGCCAAAATTCTAAGTACAAGAATATAGTGGGACTTATTAATGGTATCACACATATGCTTAAATTAAAAGTCACTATATAGCGTATTTTTTGGAGTATAAGACATACCTTTTTCCCTCAAAAAAGGGACTGAAAATCTGGTGTGTCTTATACACTGAATACATTTTTTTTGCCTCCTGAAACCCTGCCCCTTCACCAAAATGGCCATGCAGAGCCTCTAGGAAGCTTTCAGAGAGCTCCTGGGGGATGGGGAGGGCTCCTGGGGGATGGGGAGGGCTCGTTTTTGCCCCCCCCCCGGAGTACTCTACAAGCCTCCTAAGGGGTATTCATGCCCTTTTTTTGAAAAAAAAATGGGCTCCTTTGCCCTGAAAAATGGGCCATTTTTGGGGAGGTTTGCAGAATGTAAAAACTTTTTTTTAAAAAAATTGCCTCTTCAAAACCTTGGTGCATCTTATACTCTGAAAAATACAGTATGTAATGTAATGCTATAGGAGAAAAACATATTACCCTCACTGAAGTATTTATAATAATTTACTATCTCATTATGGTCTTGACTGTGATCAATAAAGGCTAGAATTTGTAGAATGATTGTTTGGGAAACCAATGTAAAATAAAAATGTAGTTAGAAATAGCAGTGCAGTGAAAGAAGAATGCAAGGGAACATAACACCAGGATTTTTTCCAGCCATTGCTCACTAGTATCACCTGCACATTCTGACAGATAAATGAGGTGATAAAAATAATTTCAGATTTTATTATTGTTTGAGACAGTGTCACATAGTACAGAAAGAACCATATTTCTATGGTATTCCTTTCTGAATTAACAATACAAATGCTAGTACTTCTTTGTAAGACTGCTACCTTCCAAATAAATAAATTTTTGCTAAAGTGCACTTTCTTTTACAATTCAAACCTCTGCGGTTCAAAAGTAAGCACCAATGGAACCTATGTTCTTAACTACAGATTCTGACTCAAGTTATGCAAGTAATTCTCCTCTTTGCGGTGTGTTTTGTGCAAGAGAGGGAGAACTAAGTGACCGCAAGTACTCTAAATTTGTTTTTTACTTAAAATGCTGTGTAAACCCAGATTTTTGTATGTTGTCCGAAATTAGATATTTTGTTGCTAGGCAAAGCAACTACCATTATTTTGCCAGAAGAAAGATGGGTTCCTAGAGCATTGACAAAGCAGAGCAGAAGAAACTTCTGTGTTTGTCTCAGTCTTTTTCATCATTCACAACATGCAAGGAATTAATTGCGGGCATAAAGGATTTAACTGTTCCTTCTCCCAATACATCCTACACTAATTGAGCCACTATATTTTCTCTATTTTTTACATTTTTTTAAAAAAAAGTAATACAGAAGCAATGAGAAAGTTAGCTGAGATATATTTAGACTTTGCAGCAAAGGTGATGCAAGCAACTGCAAGAGTGATTAATTGAACTGGCTATAGGATGACTGGCAGGTTAGCTCCCACATCATTGCTAATCAAAACACGTAAGTTACCTAATATGGGTAGAATGAAGAATTCTCTGCAGTGGTTCATGAGCATAGCTACTATAAAGGTATGATTTAGGATTGGTGATAAGAACTACAGGCCATTCTTCAAATTTCAGGTCAGCAAAACTGAAGAGATCGTGATCAAAAGCAAGAATCCGATACCTAATATTCAACAATTAAAATAATATTTTAATTAACAAAGAACATCTTAAACAATACAAGCCATTATTAAGATATTTATTTACTTATTTTATTAATTTTATACGCCACCCATCTTCCTGATTAGGTGACTCTGGACAGCTTAGAGATCATGAAAAGATAAATAGAAAAGCAGGTGTTTTTTAAAAAAAAACTATGAAAAACAAACAAACCAGGAACCAAGAGATGGATGGTACAGGGATGACATTGTCTTATCCCGCTAGCCATCTCCAGTGATGACCACTCCCCTCATGGCCTCAAACTAGTTACCCAAGCCATGTTTTAATACTCTTCTGGAAGGCCAAAAGAGTGGGAAAGTTTTCCCTGCTAGTGGTGCAGAAGGGACCACAGTGAAAAACACTCTTCTCTTAGACCTGCCCACTTGACCTAGTAGATGGGGTCCATAGTAAACCTCTTCTGTTGGTTTGAATGGAGTGAGTTAGCCCCTTAGGGGTTAGATGGCTCCTCTGTTACCCTTGACCCATGTAATATAGGGCTTTAAAAGTAATAACCAATACTTTGAACTGGACCCAAAAGCAAACTGGTAACCAATGCAGCTTGTGAAATAGCGGTGTTATATGTGCCACTCTAGAGGCCTACAGAACTGGGCATGCTGCTGCATTTTCTGCACTCGCTACAGCTTCTGAATGCTCTTTAAGGATAGCCCCATGTAGATAATCGATAATCCAACCAAGAGATGATTAGGGCATTATTTACTATGTGCAATCCCCCATGATAAGGGCACAACTGGCACACAACACAAAGCTATGCAAAGGCCCCTCTAGTCCTGATTGCCACCTGATCTTCAAGCAAGAGTCATGAGTCTAGAAGAACCTCCAGTTTGCATACTGAGTCTTTTGGGGGGTAGTGCAACCCCATCCAGAACTAAAAATGATAAATAATTGGATCCTGAGGACCCTTGCACCCACAACCACTCTGTCTTGCTGAGGGTTCAGCTGAAGCTTGGTCTTCCCTATCCAGACCCTTATAGCTTCCAGGCACTGAGAAATGACAGAAAATAGAAAAGAAATAAATATTACCTTTGCATTGGAGATTTACTTACTTCCTGCTAGTCTTCCAGTCTCCCAACTCCAGTTCTAAAGTCCCATCAGGATGACGAGTATGAAGGACAGGCATCAGGCCACCCAATGTATGGAAATGCCCACACAAATAAACTAAGGCAAAACTAATCAAAGCAAAATATTTTATTAATGCATAGCATACAATCTCTTTACTTGGAACTTTTACCATTGTAAATTCTCCAAAAAAAAACAGGAGCGTAGCAGCTATAATAATAAGAATAAGAAGAAAAACAAACTATGTTTAGCTTTTGAAAGGAGTAAAACCACAGAATTAAAAGATGGGTAATTCAAAGCTACAAATGAATCCAAATTCATACTCTGCTATCTAAAAAGCTGAAAATAAAAAGTGGTGTCAACAAAACTATAAAACTGAGAGGAGGAGACCAATACCCTCTGTGTAGACTGAACTAAATCAAGCTGGACTAGCTTCATCTGGCAGTCAATACTGCTCCGGCCCTTTGGAACGAACTCCCCGCGGAGATCCGAACCCTCACCTCCCTTCAGGCTTTCCGTAAAGCCGTTAAAACCTGGCTGTTCCGGCAGGCCTGGGGTTGACAAGTTCCCTTCCCCACTCGAATTGTTTGACTGTTGATTGTTTTTAAATTTTCTCTGTATCCTGCTTGTTGTGTCTGCCTTGTCTGTACTACCCCACTCCCCTGGGTTTGTTAGCCGCCCTGAGTCCCTCCGGGAATAGGGCAGCATATAAATGAAATAAACCTATAAACCTATAACCTAATACTGGGCAGGTTTTGCACATTATTGCACAAAACATAACAATATTATAAATTATGAAGCAGATTATGTCAAAAGATAGTAAAGAAATATCAAATTGGTCTGTACTGCCTTGTAACCTGTTAAATAAGTCTCTATAAACTGAGCAGGAGAAGAGAAAGGTGATTTTCTTAATGCCTTTCGTTCACTTAGGAAAGGGCATTGCAACATGAAGAATTATTATTGTTAGAATTATTAGCTTCTAGCCAATTAACAATGTAATTTAAACAATAATTATTTCTTGTTATTCCTTAATACAAAATGAATGAGTAATTTTAAAAAAGAAGAAAGTAAACAATTAATATATTTCCAGAAGTAATAAAAAAATAGTACCGCATGGCTTCTCGTACCCCTGGAGATACAGAGATGATTGATGAAGTAGGGTAATGACCAAACAAAATTGTGTGGTTACTCTCATGGCTTTCTGAGATTAATGCAGACAACTCCTCCATTTTATTCTGAAATGAAAAAAGTGTAAGAGTTTTAATATTAAATTGAAAACAGTCAACACATACATGCAGTTTTTAAACGCAATATTAGTACTGGAAACCATGAGCATCTTTAAAGTCCTAGTTACAAATAATATGTGTAAGCCACCCAGAGTTGCCTCTATCTAGATCAGGAATGTCAAACTCAAGGCCCGCAGCCCGCATCCAGCCCATGGGATGCTTAGATCTGGCCTGTGGGGCTGTCCTGGAAACAGCGAAGGACCAGCCCACAGTGCCTCTGCTAGCAAAAGCAGAGCTCACCCACAGTCCTCCTGAGCTCCATTTTCACTGGCAGAGGGTTGCAGGAGGCCGTTGCAGGTGAAAACAAAGCTTGGGAGCTCATTTTTGCTGGCAGAGTGCTCCGGTTACCATGGGCACACTTGACATGAGTGATGTTGAGCTGGCCACACACCCTGGTCACGTCCCACCAGCCCTCCCGAGGTAAAACACAATTCTGATGCAGCCCTCAAAGAAATTGAGTTTGGTATCGCTCCTCTAGATGAAATGGACAGCACACAAATCTAATAAAATAAAGAAGATCTCCAAATGGTTCCCATTTAACAGTTTATAAAATAATACAGATTTTTTTTTTATATTCCCCAAACACACACAGGGGGTATATGCTGGAGTACAATGACAATTTCTCACATAGGTATCAAGGGAATGCAGGGAAAGGAAAGAAAAAAAGAAAATCTAACATGCTCACGTGAAATAACAAAGCTCACAGTAAATAACCGAAAAGATTACATGTACTCCAAAAAGTTTCTTGTGGTTTTCGTTTTTGAATAACATTACAAATAAAAAAATCAGTGTTGCGAATTGGTGTGTGTATTAATTTCAGTGATTCAATGAAGACAAACTACTAGAGCTTTGGAATCTGTCCCAGTGCTCTTGAAGTGATTCTGGATAATATATAAAGAAGAAACTGGAAAAATCTTCTCATGTAGTTCATTAAAATATACCAAAACAATGATGTGGTTGATCAGAACTGAGGTTGATTTGGGGATTGAATTTATGCTGAATCCAAGGAACAGGGAAGTAAAACTTATTTATATAATGCTATGTCAGCATATCAAGCATAGAAAATTCTCAAAGAGTTTCTAAGCAAAATCTACAGTCTTATGCATATGGAAAATAATGCTAAACATTATAGACAGCTAAAATACTTTCATTATATAATTTAATATAATAAACTATCCTTTAATTCTTAGGCTTTACTTCTGTTCAAAAACATATTTAATAGAGATCTGAACAAGGATGCTGAGATCTATAAAATACTATACTGTAATATAAAATATATTTGGCAGAGACTTATTTAGCTACCTTAATTTATGAATTATGGTTATTTGTAACTAAGTATTATTGTGCTACCATGTATTTTTATTTTTACATTTTGAGGTATCTTTAGATCTGTAAGTAGCTCTCATCCTTTTAATATTTTAAAGTAAATAAAGGACAAGGCATATATACAACTGGGCTGTTTCACAGAAACCTTTTATCTATATTTTAGAATACAGACAGAACTGTGGACTGTGTTTGATCTTTCTAATGCAGCCAAATAATTTTCTATACCACATTGATTTTCATCATATTATAGCAGAATCATCATAGCATATTAACAAAAAAATCCCAACAGATTAGCTTAATACTCTTTTTCTAATTATCACTGACAGATTCTCTGAAGAAAATACTTGAGTTTGACAGAGAACTAATAATTTAGGACAATTAGATGGCCTTCCTGTAGAACCCAGCTGTTCTCAAAGATAATTCTGTGACCCAAAGTAAGGATTTTTCCCCCTTTGCAATGAATGCAATGGAGGTCTGTTGCAAAGAAACAATAATAAGGAATGGGTGTTTTGCTAGAGACCTATATGATTGCAAAACTACTTAAATCTCCACTGATCCTTTGTTCCATAGGAAACTAAATCTCACGAAAAGATTTGGTGACTGCATATAAAACTCACGCCATAGGAAACTAAATCAACTCTCTCTTTGAAAATGCTCACTGTTCAGAGACATCAGGTAAATCAACATCATTGACTGGACTACACATCTCAACGGCTGAAAGTAGGAAGAAATACTGTAGGTGGATACAGGCAATCCTTGACTAACGACCACAATTGAGCCCAAAATTTATGTTGCTAAGTGAGATGGTCAAGTGAGTTTTGCCCCATTTTATGATCTTTCTTGCCACACCTTAGTGAATCACTGCAGTTGTTCAGTTAAAATCACGGTGGTTAAGTTAATTTGGGATTTGCATTGATTTTGCTTGTCAGAAGGTCGCAAACGATGATCACATGATCCTGGGGCATTGCAATGTCATAAATATTAACCAGTTGCCAAGCATCTGAATTTTGATCACATGACCATTGGGATGCTCAACAATCATAAGTGTGAAAAACGGTCATAAGTCACTTTTTTCACTGTCATCGTCACTTCGAACATCACTAAACAAATGGTTGTAAGTTGAGGACTACCTGTACTCATAAGACTCCATCCAGACAGAATAGCCAGACAGTACAGTTAACATATAACTGGCCTCAATTTTTTTCTGATCTTTTGATTTGATAAAACATTGCTTTTTTTTCTAACATTACCGCATTTAACATCCCAAAGAAATTGAAGGGTCTCCTGGGACCTGGATTAAGACTTGCATCCACACAGATAAAAGAATATTTTCCAAAAGATGTTTTATGAACATAATGGAAGGAGCCATCTTTCTGCCATGCAGAATATTTTCTGCAAAAAAAAAGAAGGATTTAAGAAAAATACTAATTGAAAGAAAAATATGTTATAGTAAAAGCTTGTAAGAATAACAGAAATAATACAGATACATCTGTGTTCAGTTCATCACCATTCTTTACTTGTCAATAATAATAATAATAATAATAATAATAATAATAATAATAATAATAATAATAACTAATTAAATGCAAAGAAAATGAAGCCTACAAATACTTAGGCATTCTGCAGTTGGATAACATCAAGCATGGAGAAGTAAAAACTATTGTCAGTATATATTTTAT